TCATGAAGGCGACAGTGGAGGGTTATCTGACTGCGTTTTGGAAACTGGAGATTCTATAAAACTAGGCTAGTGAAGACACAGTTAACACTCACCAGACGTTTTGAGTCTTCGTTCTGTTTGTAAAAAAACAGAAGCTGTCTCACCAAAAGGGTCAGGTTGGGACCATTGGCAATGGAAAGCGTGCCCCCAGCCTGGGACGAGTTAGCACAGCGGTCAAATGCAGTTCTTTGAATGGCGTACTGAAACAGAACAGCGCACAGTCAGCACACAGGCCGCCACTGCGATGGGCAGTTTACATACGTGTTCTCACAGGATGGGGAAACGGGCAATTATCCTGCCACTGCCGTGGAGCTATGGGTAGCAGGTTAAACAAAAACCAAACACCTGGAATGTAATGGCAGACCCTTCAATACCCACTAAGACAGTCTTCCAGACTTTCTCCTCTTTACATTTTTACCTGTGGTTTGGCATGTTTGTATGTTACTATTTTAAGAAACCTCACCTGCCTATAGATCTTTAGGGAAATCTAAACTAATAAAAACTAGTTACTAGGGGAAATACTATTATCAACATTAACTTTCACTAAACAGGCATACAGAAACACATACAACATAGATTCCACATCTAGGAATCCAAGGTCATTACTTAAAACTAGAGGTCCACTGGGCTGAAACTGGCACTCCGACATCCCCTGAGGGGTCCCGATTGTAAGAAGGTGCAGGCCAAGCTGAGGGACCCTACGTGGGCATGATAGGGCCGGGGAGGGACCACAGGAGGGCTCCAGGGCCTGTCCGGCCCATCTTGCTCAGTCCCAATTTGCTGGACCCCAGCAGCACGCTAACCTACTGGTCGAAGCATCTGCCCCCTAGTGGTCAGTGCACATCATAGTGAGCGGTTAAGCAGCCTTAGCATATCATTAGCATATTACAGTTTGATTGGTTCCATTTTTCTGCCGTTTGGTCTATTTGCGTATTACCCTTTTAATATATAAGACTAGAGGCCCAGTGCACAAAAATTTGTGCACTCAGGGAGGGGGGGAATCCCTCAGGCCGGCCTGTGCCCTTTCGCAGTCTGGGACACCTCGGGGGATGTCCATTTGCTGGCTTAGGCCTGCTCCCCGGGGGACCGGGCCTAAGCTGACAGTCAGATATCCCCCTGGCAGCCAGACAGCCCTTGGGGGATGCCCACTTGCCAGCGGGGAGCAGGCCTAAGCTGCAGTCGGACATCCTTAGAGCTGCTAAGGAGGCGA